CAGCCACATTTCATCCGCGTTGTCGGCGCTCTTACCGAAAACAGATAGTCGCCGTCATTGTCGTTCTGAGCGACGTTGGCGCGATGCGATCGGTAGCGTTCCGTGTTGTCTTGGCCTCGCGAAGGACACTCCGCGATCAAGTGACCCATTTTGCCGCTATTATAGCACGCCCCAGTCTTCTTCACCGGTCGCCCTTTGTTGCGCTCGTTGTCCCTTGTCATAAACGCTTGGCCATGGGTAGCTCCGTCGACGCTACCACCTTGTTCCTTGCGTTTCATGTCCTCATGAAGGAGCCTAGACGACACTAGCTCCCACGTCAGCGTATCAGCTCTCGATTCCAACGCAGTGATTAGGAACTGGAACGCTTCGCTGAGACTTCCAAGCAGCGTGATTACCAGGTCGTCAGCACTGACCGGAGCGCCGACTGCTTCGAGCTGCTCTGCCAGAGTCTTCACCTTGTTGATGTGTTCCATCACATCGTCTCTTTCTTCCATCGTGACTGTGAAGAGACGACGACGAAGAAAGAGCTTATTCGCCAAGCTCTTCTTCTCGAAGTGGTCTTCAAGTCTTGACCATGCATTATGCGCATCACTTGCAGAGCGGACGAGCGGCAGTTGCGAATCAACCATAGCCAAGCAGATAGCTGCCATGGCCTTGCGAGACTTCCTCTTGAACGACGCTTGATCCATCGTGTTTGCCAAGTCACCAATCTTCACTTCCCCAGAGACGACCTCCCACAGGTCACGCTCCTCGAGCACCATCTGCATCTTGAACTTCCAGGCGTGGAAGTTGGTCCCATCAAACTTGTTGATGCGGCTCAGCGACGAGTGCTCCATCGCAAACGCGTAGTCGGACGCAGAGGTTGAGGTGGCGGGGATTGGGCTCATAACCTAAAGGTTATTGGAGAGGTTGGAAGTGCTTGAGTGATTTAATGCAAAACGCAAAGTGATTCATTTGGTCCTTAGTTCGCTTACACTACTCTAAGCCTAATGTTTACCCTCTGGATACACTCTACTTGATCCAAACTTTAACTGCATCCAATCACCGAACTTCAACTGCATCCAATCACAGGAATGACGGTAGTATCGCGACATGGTCATACGGGTATCTTATCGGTATATCGCAGCTGGTCGAGGAGTCATATTGGCAACAGCATTGAGGACGTGGTCCAAATATGCTTATTAATGCCGTTTACGGTGACTAGGACTTTAAATGGTAAGTAACGTGGTCAGATCTGGTAGAATTTAAGAAGACACCCACGCCGAAGACGTATAATAAACATAGTCAGTTTTATCTTGATATCAGCATCTATTCAGACGGCATACCTTACCATTAAGATATCTTTCATAGCAACGTTGTAATTCATAACAACCATTGTCAAATGACACGCTTCACGTCCCGCTTGTTGCCGCAAATCATGCAGGCTGGTATCTACTTGCCACGCCACCTTTATGCACCGCCAGAATCAACTAAAGCTTATCAGAAGTGGATACTTACAGGAGGAAATACCTTCTTCGGCAAGCAATTGCCCTGGATGTATTGTTTGGTGGCTCCCGTTTGAATTTACTTGTAGCCGTGCGGAGCTTAACGTATGGGTCGCCAGGATCAACCTGATTAAGCCTTAGGAGGTCTTTGCCGGCTAGGTTGGTAATTCGGAGTAGTGGAGACAGTCTAGGTCTACCTGAGCAAAGCGTGGTATTGTTGGCACACCAACCGAAGGATGGTATGCGCTTCATCTGTGCAAAATATGAAATAGCGTAAGCGAGAGAGCAAAGTATTGTCAACGCCCACCAAATATGCATTAAGAGTGTGCCACACTCGCTTGAATGTTTGAGGAAGCAGTGCCGGTGAGCAGGAAAATAGCGGTGGTATGAGTGCCAATAAGATAAAATAATGCGTCGTTCTGTTCGCATGGAACAACCACGTCCATTTGTTCTTCTTTACCAGCAAGCCGAAAGCTGTTTTAAGATGCAGATAAATCTGCTCGTTTAAGAAGTAGTCAGGTACATTCTTCATCGAGTCACACGGATTCTACTAAGCTGGCGGAACTTATCGTCATTTTACGCGTGAACTTTTTTGGTGCGCGATCGCTTTACAATCACATCTGATAACGCATTAGAAGCAAATTGGCCAGCCATTGCTCGGTTTGAGCTGGAGTTGTTGATTTGTCCAGTTTGCATCACTTCGCAAGCAGGACTGCTGATTTTGTCCGCATTTGATACTTTAAACGCCTTCGATTTTGGTGATTGCTTGTATAGATTTTTAAGCACCACCTTGCCGTCACCTCTCCAACCGCATCAGCATCGATGGCGTTAGCCACTTTTGGAGGATCATGTCTTTTTTAAGCATTTTTAACGTCTAGCTTAGTATTCCAGCACCCTGTTTGCACCATATATTTGTCAGTCTAATCTTGTAGGTGCTCTTCTGCAAATTGATTGCGATGACACCATTTGTCATCATCTTTTAAGACTCAGTCGTCCAATGACGTCGAGTCCTTGAGTGGCATCGTGTTGCCCTATGCGATGAGAATGTTCAATGTAGTGCTCAAAATAATGATCTCCCAACCCTACAATAGATGGATGGAGTCAAGCCAACCTGAATGGAAAAAGCGTCATTACTCCAACATCAATAAACCTGAAAAATATTAGTTAGCACCGTAAGCCGGATATCATCCCGTGAACTCGAGGCATCATAGATCTTAATCTCGTTGCAGTTGGGCTTCCAGCATCAGAACGACACCATCTCTTAAGGTTTTAACAATGGAAACTCGAATGTCTGTGTTTTGCTGCAACTGCAAACAACTGAAGATCAGACCTCGCGCTAAGGTCGCTAACGATATGTCAGCGTTCTGAACGATTTCAGTACCTGGTCTCGATCCTGAAGTGCAACTCGTGACGAAATTAAACTTAACCACTTTCTTTACTGCAGCAACAAGATCTACGCTAGTTACCAAGCACAAATTGCAAACTATAGGACAATGTGACCTCAAGATTATCGCGTTGACTTTGGCACCTGATTCTGTTTAATCGAATATCAACTCTACAATGCTGAAGCGTACGGAATTTTAACTGCATCTTCGAAGCCCACGGTATATGAACTGGTGTCTCGCGAGCACCAACGAGCTAGTTCACAAACCTGCATATCCTACTCCGAGTTGTGCTGCAATCAATATGGTGGTCTTCGCTAATATCTTGTTCATTAATGGATCAAAATATATAGACTACAAGCACCTTGAACTCCTCAAGATACTCGATAAACGGTTCGTGACGAAATCTGCACGATGAATGAGCTCGTTACGGAGAAAGAGCTTGCCCCACTATGCAAGATGAAATGACGCAGTGCAAGCGATGCTGATACTTTTTCGCCATATCTAATGTGCCAGATGGAATAACCTCACTTACTTGTGGGACCGCCCATGAAGACATCCATGTCCCTCAATGACCACTGCTCGCTTGAGGTCGAAGGCAACATATCTTATTTTGTGCCGTAGCCAAGTACAACGAAAAACTGCGAAGGCTGCACCACCGCACGACTGCGTCGTGATCTCGATGATCTTACGCTTTTGTTTACTACGTTGGTGAAACTGATGTGAATGATCGTCAGCCGACAATGCTGCTGCAACGTATGAGTACATTCCTGCAGACGGTTGATACGTCGACGATGAACGCGTTACAAGTGCAGATACAGGAGGTCGAGGAAGAAAAATCAAGATTGGATAGGCAAGACTGGAAATGAAACACACAAAGCGGTAGCTGCCGCTTTATCTGCTGCTAGTACTTATAATGCTGCAAAGCCTTCTGCTGCAAAAAAGCAACGTGAGCTTCTTGCACGAGAGTACAACCAGGAACTCCATGAGGTCTTTTCCGAATAATATGCTAAGCTTACAGCAGATTCTTAACGACTGAGACGTCTTGTACGCGCTACGTTTTGAGACGGAGCTACGAGTTATTTACAGAAGATGAAGAAGGTAATGCTGCTATGATATCCCGAAGACAAAGGTCAGGGTATAACGATAAGCACTGTTCCTAGATGTGTCAGCGTTCGTGAAAACGCACGCTCTACTGAAAGACACAGCTGTTGTTTTGTACAACGCCCTCATAAAGGACCGCAAATACGAATCACCAGCTAGTCATGCCTCGATCATATTTTCTTGTGTGCTTGCTGTACAATAAGCATTGATATTATCGAAATACTATTGGTAATCTGAATGGCACTTCATGAGGAAACACAACAAGAACGATCTGATGAGCATTGAGAGACCAAGTGACTTTGTCTGGACAATTAGAATTCGCGTGTAGGGGCAATCGTTCTTCGAATTGTTACGCGTTCGGCATATTGCCAATACGATTTTTCGGCAAATTCTTTACTAACAAGTTGACTTAGCATGAGTTCGACACTCTTGGGCCATCTGCTGGTCGACAAGGACCAGGTAGTGGGTCACGCAGGATGTAGCGTGGCGGCTGTAGATATCCTACCACACGTAGCTAAACGACAATCTTGAAAGGAATGAGCTCCACATCACCTTTTCTTCGTCATTTTTTATGTAATTACAACGTCCAGCTTATCGCCGTACGTGATAGTATGCTTAAAACCTATTCCATGATGCTCATTTTGGTGCTTACTCCAGCGAAGAACTGGTCTAGTTCAGCGACGATAGCGCTTGTGTGTTCATTGCCCGAAGAATCATAACGTTTTTACTTAACAACAACTCCAAAATGCTACCAGGTCGCAAATTACATCGTTGCTTACCACTACATATGACTAGTCAAATTTGAAGAAGCAGAGCGGGTCTATTGTCGGAGTTAATAATGGGACTGAATATCTGAGTTAGTGAAATGGTTTAGAAAGAATGTTATAAAGGAAGGTGTGAAAAAAAAAAACAGGAACCGGGGGAAAAAAAAACCCCCCCGGTCGACAATTTCTTTCAATGAACAATTTTGCTTCTATGCTGCGGCCTGTACAACGACACAAGTTGAGCAATTCTCCTGTGTCGTCAAATGCTATGCCGTAACAAGAACTTTGCAGACCTCGTGCATCTTGTCCAAGTATTCCGCTGCGTGTTTCGGTTGGAAGACCAGCGAGGATCGAAATCGAACCGAGTTGCTTCCGCAGCCTCCCGAGGCGACACCTTTCGTCTTCATCAGACTCACGAATTCGTTGCGCACGGCTTCTGTCGGGAAGTCCATAGCCAAATACGTTCCCTGACCACGTACATTCGACACCAATGCGGGAAACTCTGTGGCAATCTCATTCAACCAGGTCTTCAGGTAGGTAGGTACCCGTGATGTTGACATTCTCCAAGAGGTTGTCGCTCTCTATCACGTCAAGCACCGCTTTCAGAATAATCGTCTTCGTGGGATCACCCATCCACGTGTTAAAGATGCGGTAGCTCTCCTTGAGGCGGAACTCTCCTTTTGCAAAATATCCACCCGTCTGCATCGTCTTGCTAAAAGTGACGAGGCCAGGCGAGTTCTCCAGCTCCCAGTGTTCATGTGTTGACGTTTTCCAATCCTCTCGGAGCCACTTCAAGTAGCGTGTCATTGATGCGGTCAGCCCAATCAGCAGGCGGAAACACGCCAAGACAACATGGCCGTTGAGCAAACATGGCCAGATTGTCTTTATTGCTCACAGCCTCAAGGATCTTGGGATGGTTGTAACCAATGCGCAATGACGCAATCTGTCCATACACGTCAAGGAAGCATTAAGGATGGACAAATGGATAAAGAAGAACCTAGCGTCAAGTTTTCCAGCAAAAAGTTAACCAATAACGTTAAACTAACGTTCAGTTGTGAATTAAACAGAGAATGTCCAGCAAAGTCAGTGTTATGATAACACAAAAGTAGTCGAAGACGACATAGTCAACGGGAGTGAATAGCCGATGTCCGGTGTGCAACAAGTCACGTCTTGTGAATTGAGCCGTCATGAGTGAGCTACTTCGTGGCTTCCGCCCAGGACATTCGTCGCAGAAATGCCTACTGCACTGTATATTATTATCATGATTCACTGAAAACCACAAACCTTAACTTCCATTATGCAGTCGCATCGTGAGGAAATTTGTGTGGAAAGTGAGAGCTTTTTAGCATCCTTTCCCACAGGTTGAGAGCTATCGTAAAACTTGACACTTCAACTTGAAGATTCAACATTAAAAACTTTCCCTGCGAAATCGAATTGTCGCTTTGTAGACATAACGCGGTCCATCCTGATGGCGTTTGGCGCCAGCTGCATGTTCGCACTAGTGCTTACAAAGCAATCTGTGTTTGAGAGAGAGAGGCAGACGTGTCATTCAACTGTTTAGGGTTGCAATATGTCTGGTAAATCATAAGTTTGAATAGCAACGCCAGTGCTCGATCGAGTCCGTTACTTGTACGGGCTGGCCACCAGCAGTAATGCTCTCGGGACTGTCTGGCTTTGCTGATGCAGGTATATACCGTTGTTTATGTCCTTACAGGCCGCTCGAGCGGCCCGTTTGTTCAAAAGTGCGCGGTCGCCGGAGCGACGGCGCGTGTCGTGAAGTGTGGCCCCCGTTATAACCGCTTGAACGGCTCTTCAAACTTGGAGTACGCTATCGCCTAAGCGATGACGCGTGGCGTGGGGACGCCACCAGCCGGTTTATCTTCCCTTGATCTGCAGTCCGCACGACCGGTGGCCGCACGAGATGCATGCGTGAGACATGACCCCACCGACTTTGGCTCCCACAAGGGAGGATCATCGCCAGAGTAAATATCCTTGATAAGAGGCTGAAGCTTGGACTTGACCGCGAAAATCTGAGAATGCAATCCGTGATTTAGTCGAGTGTGTCTGCTTGGATCTGTAGTGTTCGTCACCGTTTCTGGCCAACATACGGATGGCGGTCACGTCGGATGCTAACGGCGAACGCGTTGCTGGCTATTTGCAATCGATTGTGTATTATCTTGAAAATCTCTTTTAGAGTGTTGCAAACATTTGAATGTTCATGCTGAAGGTTCCGGATTCCATACACAACCCTTTAGTCGTATCGCATCTCTTTCTTTTTGACAATTGCGAAACATTTACAAAACAATATCAACTTAAGTAAAATACTCCAAAAGTTGCGTCTGACGGTAAGACACACAATTTCTTTACTGCATGCTCTTTGATACTGTACATAGCCGCAACATCGATGTTCAGTGTGGTGCGACCTTCCCCACTCGCTGAACATTCACTTACTCATTGTATAGGTAAAGGGCGGAAGACATTAACCGATGAATGGCGACGTCCCCACTAGCACTGGCGGCCCCGGGTCTCCTGAGTATCCACGTATGCCAACCGTGGCCTCTCAATGGCCTGCTGACGTAGATCTAGATGCACTCTATCTCTCAGAGCGTTCCGAAGTGGATGAGCTTGTACGAAGCGCCTCTGTCCTAAGCGTCTGGACGGTCGAAACTCGCAAGGAAAACGCTGTGGTGTATCTCCACTCAAAGAACAGCGAGCGTCTTTCGTACTCGGTACGTGCAGTAACTAAAGTCTCAGGCTCAGTGACCGACGTGCTTGAATGTCTTCGAGCAGTCAACAATACAAGTCTCAAAGGATTTCAAAAGCTACTGCACCCACGCAACTTTTTAGATGGAGAAGTACTGTACGCACATCATGCGGACGCTACGTCCGTACAAGATGGTGCATCTTTTGAGTCCATGACACTCAAGTGGCTCGTGTACTCGTCCCCAAAGACGCTCGGGCGTTCAAAAGAATTTTGCATCCGCGAGTATTGCGTGCTATTGCCAAATCACCCGGTGCACGGTAATGTCGGAGTCTTGAAATTTGAGTCGTATGATGGTGCAGCTGCACGCTACGGCATTCGAGGCAAGCCAGATGCCTACAGTTTGACCGTCTTTGAGCCTAGTTCGTACGTGGTGCAGCAGACTCCAGAAGACCCCAATATGGTCAACGTCACGCTCACATTTGCCATGCGGAAAGCACGAGGAGGTGAGAGCGTCTCTGCCGGGGTGCGACTGACCTCGCTTCGACTTGCTGGAGGTCTGTCCGGGATGGAGAAGGCAGTGCAGCAAGCACTTTTCGCTCCAGCGGCACTGGCACAACGACAGGAGTGGGTCAATGATGCACAACGGACCAACTGCTCACTCTGCACACAGTCTTTTGGTATGTTGAAGCGACGTCATCATTGCCGAGTGTGTGGAGAAGTAGTGTGCTCGGCGTGCACGGTGTTTAAGATGGTCAAGGGGGATCAAGATGTGGCGGCAAAAGTGCGCGTTTGCAAGGCGTGCTTAGCAAACAGTGGCAGCTCAAATGGCAATACGAATTTTGGAAATACGATGATTGGTGGCAGCACGAATTTTGGAAGCACGATGGTCGGTGGATTCTCGAATCCGTCAGGTCGGACCGTGAGTAGCAATGGCACAGACTTAGACATGAGCGGCAGTACTGGCACTACTCCGCTTCCAAATGGGTTGGGTGTTGGCACAAGCATTGGTAGTACGAGTTCTCTGACTTCGAGTGAGTCATATAGCCCACCTAACGAGAATCCGGCGTCGGCGACTCCTCCTGCGATACCGTATAACAAAGGCTCAGCTTTGTCTCTAACTGACTTTGATGCAAATGCGCAAATGAGTGACGACGGAGGTAGCAGCCCACCTCTTTTCCATAAACGAACATCAACAACATCAAGTCAAGGTAGGGGAACGGGCTTTGAAGGCAGGCCGATTGATACCGTGGGCAGGACTGCTTCCAATGCCAGTATTGCTACGAGCAGGAAGAAGAGTTCAGATTGTCGCATCCATTACTTTAACGAGGACATGGAGGAGATCTGTATGCTGGCAATGGAGACGTTGGCTTGTCCCATGGCTGGTATTCGCACCGAAGATTTTGAGCTTGTGAGGTATTATGACGGCAAGCCGGCGCCGGGTCTACCTCGAAGTTTGCCGACTTTCCGACGACTTGCAACTCGCGGCAAGCCGTGTATCGTGCTCGACGTGAGCTCGGATAAACGAATTTCAGGTGAAAAGCGCTTCACAGCAAAGTTACAATTCTTTGTTGGCATTCCGTTGCTAGTAAACGGTGAAGTGGTAGGCGACTTGTGCGTGGCAGATCGTTATGCCCGCGACAACATTGACCACAAGCAGGTGGAGGTGCTCAATGTGCTGGGCGAGACAGTTACGCAATATATGCAGTCAGACGAGTATCAAGAGGACCTGATGGAGTTTAAGTCGGCTACGAAGGTGGCGCGCAGGCCCCCTACGACAGGCCCAGCTCCCCAGCCAGTTGACGAAGAAGATAGCTCACCGTTAAAAGACACCAAGGAAGTTGCGTTTTAAGAGTGAAGCGGCGTGGTAAAAGCTGGAGAGCGTGGACACGTTTCGCGGTGGCTGGCGTTTGATAGCGCGCGCCGTATATATGTGAGTTAGTCTGGCAGGAGGATGTCCTTCGCACTTGTCTACCGCATGGGCGGGGTACGTGACAATGTTGAGGGAGCTGTATTGTTTCGTCGGTTGTTGCCTGGATGGACGCTGTATGAAGTCGAAAGTAATAGAATATTTTCCGGTTTTGCCTACTTTACAAGATTTTCGCGTCCTCTGGCATTTGATTAGATGCTGCTTGGAATTACAGTGTGTGAGACTTCAGACAAGCGATCGCTTCGCAATTTGAGTTGCTGCTCAAGCGTGCCAAATCCGTTCTTGCGTTTCGGTGTTGTCATTGTTCAGCCAAGTATCACGGATGTGGTATATTTCTTTCTAAGTAGGAAGAGTCTTAGCGTGTCATTTTTACCGACGTGTGCTCCACGCGATATATTTACAAAACGCCGATTGAAGCTAAGGCCAGCAATGATCTGATCGAGTTGTCTGCAAGCCGGTACCCTTTTTCAAGAGCCTGCTTCTCGTAGCAGATCGCCGATTGCTTATTTTATCTCCGAGCTTCTTTACCGTGAGTAAAACACTTTCGCAGCTTTGCTAACAAATTCTCGCACAATACAAAGAAGGAGTCTGAACCTCCTTGCGTATCATGTATTGTTGTGTTCGGCAAACAAGAAGAATAAATCGTCTTTAGGACTTAAGTGGTGTTGCGACACACCCCGCCGGACACGTTGACAAGCTTCATGGAATTGACGATAGGCATGACCTCTAAGCTGATAAAGCAGCATTTACCAATTTTGTTGATTGCATGGGCAACGCCACATTAGCTTATGAAACCTCAATCTTTCTCTAGTTTTTAATTGTCTTAAGCAGCTTGTACGACTCGAGTCGAGAAGTCGGGAGACCGGTCGATGCATGTACATTTTTCTCACCACTTCTCTTTTTCTTACTCCGGCGCTTTTTCTTCTCAATGTCGACTGAAGCCTTCTCCGCTGCTGGCTCAGCACTTTCACTCTTTACCTTCGCTCTCTTCGGTATCGGTTTCTCTTCCTCAGACAACGTTTTATCTTCTTCTGGATTCGCTTCCTCCTCCATGGCCTTCTTCTTTTTGCTACGTTTCCGCTTCTTGGGCTGTTCAGCCTCTTCTTTCTGTATCCCTTTACTATCTACAGGCTCCTTGGTGTACTTGCGCCTACGATTCTCCTCTTGAGCCACCCGCACACTTTTCTTAAAGTTCTTAAGTCGCTTGCGGTCTATAAAGTACTCCGAGTCGGCGTACGGTGCCATACGCTTCAGGGACACAAGCTGCTTAAGCTCGCTGTCGTCAGCAGCCATGATTTCGTCCACGGTAAGACCAAAATCGTTATTCTGGACCTGGCGATATTTGAAGCGGCACTTGATGTCTCCAATCAGATCTTCGTAGTCCAAGCTGTATAACTCGTCCAAATACTTCTGCTTTTGACGCTGAATCTCGTTCATTGTCAGCTTCAAATGTTTTGGCGCCTCCTCTCCATCCTGCCCTTCTTCATCCTCCTCAACTAGCGCCTGTTTCTCCTTGTCATCCCCCTCCACCTCGGCTTCCTCACGCAACGTAGCATCGCCCTCTGCATCCCCCTCCTCCTCCTCCAGATCAACAGGCAGACCAGCAAATAATTCCTTGTCTTCGTCTTCGTCCCACGTAGGCTTCTCCATATCGTCATCTTCATCGTAATACTGTTCGTTAAAGACGGCCTGCATACGCTTATCGTACTCGTCGGGATCAAAGTCACCCTCCAAGTCCTCTGCCTTTAAACCAGCCGTGCCCTCTTCCTCACCCATTAGCCGTGCAACCTTCTTTAGCTTCTGTTCAATCTCAGCTTGTTTGAGGTTTTTCAAACGACGAAGTTCCTCCTCCTTCTTCTGGCGCTCAAGCGCTTTGCGCTCCTTACGCTCTGCTCTATTCCGCTTACGCGAGTCATCTTCACGACGCATAGTGTCATCAATATGACGCGCATGCGTCTGGATCACACTACTTCCCTGCTCTTCGAAGCGAAAGTTATAACTGTGTTCAAACTCTTCAGCCTTCTCCAAAGCATCTGCATCCTCTTCGTCCTCCTTAACAATCTCGTCATAATGTGGCACAACAGCCGTCTTGTCCTTCCAGCCTTCACTGCTTAGATAATGCTCCAAAAATTTATCAGGGTCAATTTCACCCTTCTTCAGCTTGGAGCCATACTTGGACGTAAACTCTCTATAGTCCTCGTTCTCCTGTTTCTGCTCTCCTCTGTTTTTCTTTCTCATTGTAAAAAGTCCTCCGTCCAGCTCATTTGTCTCGTCGTCTCCTTCCTCGTTCTCCTCCAACGACGCCAAAAAAGTCTTTTTGATCTCCGCCTGTTCTTCTGCATATGTTTGCACTGGTTTCTCGTCGTCGTCGTCATCGTCGTTATCGTCGTTATCGTCGCTGCCACTAACGTCGCCTGCAATCGCCTGCTGACGCACCATATCCTTGTAATATAACGGCGCCACGTTCTTCTCCTTCTTGATCTTTACACCACCAGCATCTGCGTCCTTGTCACTGACTTGTGACGTTTCGGACTGCCTAAAGAAGGTAATGGACGAGTTGTAAATGGCCGGATTCTTCGTACGGATGAGCTTCAGCGTCTTACGAATGTTCGAGTCCAGCTCCCGCGTAAGCTCTTCACCATCCTCGTCCTCCGTTTCTGATTCCGATTCGTCGTCGTCATTATCATTAAGCCCACGCTTTTCAAGTGTCAAGAGCTCCTCCTTGCGCTTACGTTCCTCAAAGGAACGGGCAAATTTCTGGTTCACTTGAAGCAAAATCTCTGGACTATTAGAGCGTGTGGATGTGAGCGATCCTTTGGTCACGAGCAGCTCGTCATTATCGTGTTGCGTGGCAACGGTCGACGCCTTGGAGCTCTTGTAACTTGAGCCCATAATGCACTGGATGGATGGCCGCCACAGGGACTCGTCATTAAATACGATACACTGTCATTATAGTGGGGTGGGGTATCGTTATGGTATTTAGAAACGTGCCTGCGACACATCTGTCTGTCTCATGTTGTCATGCACCCCCGATGACAATCTCGATTTTTGGAAACGATTGTTTTCCGTTTAAATTGCTGTATGATTGTCTAGTGATTAGGACGTCTATAACTAGGAACATATGTACAAAGGTGTAGCCGTATAATAAAAACTAACATGATATGAAGCAGGTTGCAAGAGCGCACACTAGGGTGATGAGTTATTGAAACTTCCTTCCTGATATCAAGTCTCTTGATGTTGTGAATTCTAAAAGCTTCCATGCGAGCTTCCCCCATTTTTATTGTTTAGCTCGCGTTAACGTATCAGATGAAAAGAAACTTGTAGAAATGACACGAATGGATTGTCTTTTCCAGCGGATCCTAGAGAGACACTTCTACCTACGTCTCTTGTAGATTTTCATTGTCAGATTTGCTCCCTTATAAAATAAAGTCTGCCGTATAACCGTGTAAGCTACTGTCCACCAACCAAATAGCCCGTCTATGTCTGCGATAGGGGTACAAAGCCTATAAAAGCGACAAAAGGCAAAAAAGGGTTATTTTTCCACGCCCAAAACCCAAATCCAGTCACTGTTGCGAGGGACCTCTTTGGATACCCCCTCCCCTCCGCCAGCCATCATCAGACCGTAACCGGCCCCAAGTGGACGAAGTGGACGAAGAGAAGAAGAAATAGCGATGGCCGTGATGCTAGACGACACGGTCAATTCAAATGATGAACGGGGCCGTGCCATTGTCGAGACACTTGCAGTCGTTGTTGAGTCCATGATGCGTGCTAGTGACCGGATGCCACTGGGTTATTATCACAAGACGAAATTTGAGGCCTTTCGTGCACCAGGCATCTCTGTACGCGATTATCTCATGCGTATTCACAAATACGCTAGTTGTAGCCCTGAGTGCTTTGTGCTTGCACTTGTATACATGGATCGTCTTCACCAAATGCAGGGTTTTGTGCTTACGGAGCTCAATGTGCACCGCGTGGTCATTACGAGTGTCGTGCTGGCTGCCAAATTCTTTGATGACCATTATTTTAACAATGCTTACTATGCTAAAGTAGGGGGTGTACCCTGTCTCGAGATGAATGAGCTTGAAGTCGAGTATCTGCTTCTTATTAACTTTAGTCTTCACGTGAGCAGTGAGACGTATGCGCGATACTACAACGAGCTGGCCAATCACTACATGTACACGCGTGTGCGCAGCTCGTCGTTACCACACTCACCCTACTACCAGTTGCGCCATTTCGTGGCTCCCGATCCGCAGCTCGATGGAAAACTCGTGTACGTGACCGAGAGATACCCGAAGGTGCAGCCACCAGAGGAACATCGACGCAGCCACCCGCTGCCTTTGCATCATCACCACCAGGCACAGCAAATGACCCCCATGCATCACCACCATCGAACAGTAGAAGACGGTGAGAACGGCGCGGTGCTGACGACTGCAACAGGCTCTACCGCAACAGGGATCAATGCTAATGGCATCGCCTGCACAAAATCAAATCGGGCATCCGGGCAGAAAAGAAGGAGCGCCGTCGCTCTCGGGGTGAATGCATAACATACTTGTGTAAGCTACTGCTTGGTTGTGGGAGTAGCGAAGACATTCCAGGAGCGACACCAACACACAGAAATACCATTACTTTGGCGCAATGGGGCAGACAGAGGGCAGACACCGGTGTAACTTGGAAAAAAAGAAAAAAACCAAGTGGACCAAACTGCGGATCATTGCTGCAGCTTATGGGCGTGCTGATGCGGCACTCCCAGCCAACGGTAGCAGGGATGCCGAGCAAACTTGCGTGCTTCAGTGCGGATTGGTGGTACGCTTCCGTGTCTGCTTTGCTCTCTCTGCTCCTCGTCCCTTATTTCGCCGCTCCGTTAATATAGTCACTCACTGGCTGTAAGTCAGTCCATAGTATTCCGATAATATTAGTTCCTAGTCAATGTCGGTCTTCGTTCGGCTTTCTTGACTTGCGTGTGCCTCTGTAATCTAGATCTCGTCCTTCGTAACGATTCTTATAACATTTGAGGGCATCCTCGTCACCACTCTTTCACAAAATTGTTTTAAATTGCGGCATCTCGGCCTAAGCTTACTACGAATTGCAATGATGTTCTGTGACGAAGACACTGAGAATGTCTTTGCGAGCTTATCGGACCTTGCCTGCATTTTTTACTTGCGTTTCCAAAAAGTACCGTCGGATACACCCCATTGATACTTGCGCTCGTGTTCTCGAATCATAAATGGGTAGTCCTGACGCTCTATCAGCTCAAAGTCCTTCGATAGCAGCTTTTTAATCATGCTGAAACTGTCCACGGGCTTTCCCTCGCCGTCGCGTACGCCGCCAATCCATTTGTCCTTCACCGTGTACTCCTCCAGCCACGAGTACGGACTCACGAGAGCAAGGACGCCACCAGAGTGAACAAATCCACCAATATCGTTCAGGAACTTCTCTGGATTTGGCAACCGGCACAGCAAATTGGTGGCAAACACCGCGTCAAACTTGCCTATAGCGAGATAAACAAAACAAACATTAGCCCTCACGCATCTACTTCTTTATACTGCAAAAACAATTATTACCTAATGATCGAGATAAATGACATGCATCTCCTTGCTGAAAAACAACAACAGCTGGCTTGGCACACTCAGGTAGTCTCGCAAAGCGGCGTTCGTGGATATCTCCCTGAACATGCGCCTCGTACTCCATCTCACCACGTTCCTTCATCTGATTAGCTGCATCCACAAAATGCTTCGAAAAATCGATACCGACAACCTGCAATAAACGTCACCATTAAGTCTGCCAGTTTTCCACTGTATCATACCTCCCCACACATCTCCGCACCTCATTGTAGTGCTTGCTGAGTTCAAACGTGGCTCGACCCACTGCACAGCCAATATCGAGCGCACGACCACGTTGACTTAAAGATGCCAGTTTCACACAATGTTCCACCGTGCGTGGTAGAAACTCCAGTGCGTCTCTTGGTGCAAAGCTGTAGGGAACCACAGCGGACGGCTCACCTGACACAAATGATACACAGACAACGAGCATAAGATTGTTACAATGATAAAGAATAAACGTATACAACTCTTGTACCATAATGAAACTGCAGGTATTCGTGTACCGCACGCTCCGACTCGTAAACGGCCGAGCCACTAGCTGTTGTGCTGCGGACGATCACAGGATCCGTCGCCATAATGGGTACTAAAATTGCTACGCATTTTGACAATGGAGTGATCGGAGTTAGTCGGCCTAGTCCAGTACATGCGGTTACACTCAGCTAAGTACGGTCAGAAATTTCTGAGCATTGCATAAACCAGTCAACCGCACCAGACTGAGTAGTGCCACGTACGACAGTGCTTGGTGTTTCTATATAAAAGTAAGGGCCGACATGACGTCAATAGTTTTGTTTCTACGATATATGCATGCAAAATGTGAAAAAATATGTAAAGGAAACTTAGGGGCAGCTGCTTCAAACAGTATTTTCCATTTGTTGTCACACGGTTCGATCGATGATTTTTTACCCAGTGTTTTACCGAGTGTTCAGTTTGTGGTTCAAGTATAGATGGATGGTCAAAGACCTGTTACGTTTCATGTAATTATAAACTTCGTACCAGACGACCATCATCGCTCTCTCTCTCTCTCTCTCTAAATCTACTTGATAAAATATCGAATGAGGCATGTATCTTCGTACCTATAAAAAACAAAATACCAAACCGTCTGTCTCTCTCTCGATCGTTTAATCGTTTCTGACAGGTTTGTTAACCTGAAAATTGTCTCTTCAAACAACAATATTTACACTGTCTCTCCTCCAGTTGCGAGTCGTCGCCCCCTATTTCTTTCTTTCCAAGTCGTCATAAGCCAGTGAGTGCGCTTCTCTTTAAGCAAGTAAGTGTCTCGTAGTTTTCCCTCTCAATGGAGCTACAGAGCTCTATGTACAGCGACTAAGGGCTCTAGATGTGCCCCTGTATCTCGTCTCTACACTGGTCCCTTTGTCGCGTCCATTCGGCGCAGGGAAAGCCGCATCATTTCTTACAACCTCACTAACTTTGTCCCCCTTTGTTTCTCGTCTTTTGTAGCTCTTTTTTTCTCTCCATTCTCTCTTATCCTTTTTACTTTACGTAAGGATGTCGTTAATTCGTGAGAGCGCATTAGAATTACGTGTCGGGAAAAAGTTCCGTCTTGGTCGTAAGATTGGTAGCGGCTCTTTTGGTGACATTTACTTGGGTACAAACATGACATCGGGAGAGGAGGTTGGTATTAAATTGGAATCTATCAAGAGCAAGCACCCACAACTGCTCTATGAGTCAAAGATTTACAAGATTCTCAGTGGTGGACGTACGTGCTATTTTACTTTTTTTATACCAACAATGCGGTTACATCGGTATTTGTGCTAACTGATACCTTGCTGTTATGTTATAATGTTGATCTGTACAGTCGGTGTGCCGTCTTTGCGGTGGTTTGGCGTCGAAGGTGAATACAATGTGATGGTAATTGATCTACTGGGCCCTTCTCTCGAGGACTTGTTCAACTATTGTGGCCGTCGCTTTCAGCTGAAAACAGTGCTGATGATTGCTGACCAGCTACTGTGCCGCATTGAATACTGCCATGCCAAGAACTTTATTCACCGAGATGTGAAGCCAGATAACTTTTTGATTGGTCTGGGTAAACGTGCCCAGATTGTCCACGTCATTGACTTTGGTCTGGCCAAGAAGTACCGTGATCCCAAAACGCACCAACACATTCCGTACCGTGAAAACAAGAACCTCACGGGTACAGCTCGTTACGCCTCTATCAACACTCACGTTGGTATTGAGCAGAGTCGTCGTGATGACCTCGAGTCTCTCGGTTACGTGTACATGTACTTCATCCGTGGTTCCCTACCGTGGCAGGGTCTCAAGGCTAATACAAAGAAGCAGAAATACGAGAAGATTATGGAAAAGAAGATGAACACGCCCATTGAGGTGCTCTGCAAGGGCTACCCAGCTGAGTTCCGTGCCTACTTTGAGTATTGTCGTGCTCTGCGCTTTGATGACAAACCTGACTACGCTTACCTCAAGCGTCTGTTTAAGGAGCTTTTCTTCCGCAAGGGCTTCCAGTTTGACGCTATGTTCGACTGGACTGTCCTCAACCTGCGTAGCGGCCGTCGGGAGCGCACCAGCGGCGAGGGCACCGCTCGCGCGGATCCTCGCCAGGAGGCTCCCCGTGATGGCCGTCAGATCGCTTCTCAGGGCCGTGCGTACGTTCGTGATGAGGCGAAGGAGGGCGATGCTCAGCTGCAAGCGCAGCAGTCTTACCGCTCGACTGGCTTCCGTGATGAGAGGCAAGCGGCTATGGACGCAGGCTACCCTGCTCCTCGTGTGGCCACTGGCACCAGCCGTGACGCTGTCGGTGAAGCGAAGCCGATAAGCCGGCAGCGTTACTGAGCTGGATTCGTCTAGGAGCATGTTGTGCTGCTGCTGTCAAGTTCTTGGCGGTGGCCGACGACAATGCCGCTCCAGGCTGATGTGTGTTACATTGAGTGTTATTGGTTGCGAAACCATGACATTTCGTTTGGAAGCACTGCGAAACAATTGAGAAGAAAACGAAAACGAATGGAAACTGCTGAAGAACACGACGAGAAGTGATGAAGATGACGAGCGAGTGAATGAGCGATGAAGGAAGCACGAACAAACGAAACAAAACAAAAAAGGAGAAGATGATGAAACGAAAAGACCTGGCAGCCGCTCATGAGAATGGAAGATGAAGTACCCGATGACTGCGTCGGACGACCTGAGGACTTTGTAGTTGTAATGAGAAAGAAAAAGAAAAGAAGAAAACAAGAGGATGAAATGGCTGCAGCCACGACGTGCCTCTTCCATTGGAAACAGGATTATGTCATGGCCCTTCACAATCATGGCGACAAGGCCGCGATCGGATGGCAGGCAATGAGTTTGCGAGGCTTAAACAGGACTTTAGTTTTTCATTGCATTCTGCTTGACAATAAATTTGCCTAACAACACCGGACGTGCTTGAGCCTCAATGACGTCGTAGACAGCACAACTGTAGCATATTTAGTTGTCCTTGAAGCTCATCGTAGGTACATTGCGTTGTCGGATGCAGCGATACAAAGTAGTTCCTGGTATATTGAGCACGATACTTGCCAAGACTATGCCCACATCATGGGTTGCTCGCATGGTGCTAAAGTATTTGAAATTAACCTGCCGTTTAGATCGATGTCGACGTTTTATGAATTCACATGCTGCATGGAAGATGTCCACTTGTTCTTGAATGTGTGCGTACAATTCCATTGCATTAAGCAGCGCCATCATCAGAGGAGTTTGCTTAGAACCAAGAGACAATATAAAGGATCCGTGTGCCACATCACCTTAACAGACTGTCACAAGTTACAACCTGCGTAGCATTAGTTCGGAACACACAGATTGGTAGCCTTAAACGATAAGTTCCATCCAAGTTATTGCAGGTGTTGCACAGGTTCATAATTTCTTCATTTTCTCGTCCTTGGTGAAGATATTCAAGCCTAAAGTAATAGGTAACATCACGAGCTTTGACGACTTCAAGAGCTTAAACGAACTAACAAATCGGTCAAGTCTGTGAGTAAAATATTTCGTGATGAGTTATACAACAGATCTTGCAGAACTTTACAATCGTGCAGCTCCAAGAATGTCGCAATCTTCCTCTCTCCTACCAAACCTAAATGTCGTTCATGTCGTTCGCGTTTTTTGAATGAGCCGGCTTGTACGTTTCAATCCCCTTTCCAGCACCTTGCATGGCCTCCTTCTGTGTGTATTGCTTCTGAGCAACATCTTTCAATCTATACAACAAGTAATCAACAGTCAGCTCAATTTCAATAGAACTACGTAGTAAAGTCTCTGTAACCTCCATACCTCCGTTTGTGCACTTTAGTTTTCAAATGCACGTCCCGTGTCTTCGTGTCGATAAAGTGACGACCGCATGGTGTGCAGTAGAACTGACCCAGACTATTTACCAATATTCACATATAAACATTGCAACACTTAACATAACGTTATAACAGAAATAACACCAGCTAAACAACGCACCCTGGTAGGTCCTCATCCATTTCAAAGGTTAAATGCTTGCCCGTTACTTTCTCCACACGCAGATCATCTTGGATCTGGTCGACATCACGTGCGCGGTTTTTAGTGGCGTGTCCACGCTTGTACTGCTTTTTCTTGGCGTGTGCGCGCGCTCGGCCTGCTCCTGATCGGCCTGTACCCATGTCAAGTAGTCGTCGCTTTTAAACGTTTTGTATCGAATTGTTAAACACGAGCGATTGGATGGCAGGAAAAAGGGTCGTAACTGTTATAGTTTTTTTTTGTTTTTATTCTCACACGTCGCAGAATTATTATCAGAGTCAGTAGTAGAACGACTGGAGCTGCAACTCGTGACGAATGTCATTCTTAAGAGATTGAAAGATGGACGGGAACGCCATCACATCACGTGGATTTGTGTCCACCCATAGCTGGTTAAAGCGAGTGAAAATTGTGGCTGTAGAGATAAAAAGCACAAGTTTTTTCAATAGATAAAAACAACGTCGTAACTGTGTAAATGCGATTCAATGAACGTACCGTAAAAGTCGTGGAGCTGTATCAGACCGGCGTTCAAGTCGTCATCTTGATCATTTGCTGCACCATTATCAGCAAGACGATACAACTTCATATCAAGCAAATGCTCATCAATCAGCTCGATCAAGAAGGCTGTCACGTTGATTCCTGTTACAGCGAACGGGTACCAGCGCGTCGGATGATTCGACTCCTTCAAGGCACTGGAAACACCGCATATAACCATCATAGACACACATCATTAAGACGTTTCATCTTCTACAATAGCACAGTGACCACGCATCCACTACCGTTGAGCTTCAACTTTGTAAGTCTTTGTAAAGTAGTTGAGTTGCACAAGCGAGAAGACGCCCATGCTTCTGAAATCCGACATCGGATCAGTTCCTATTTTCAACCAAAACACAAAGTTACAGCATGAATCTGCTCTTTCCCACTGTAAAGAAAAGTTCGTTAAACGTACCTTGAAAGCCAATCTCTCCCCACTCTTTTGTAATGCGTCCACCTTTACGACGCACGTTCGGTTTTAAATTCGTCCACAATTGCTCGAGCATCTCTTCATGCTCTTGCTTCAATGAATTGTACGCTTCATTCTTCAGTGTATACACACGCGCGTATACTTTGTTTACATAATTGCATCGATAAAGACACGAGCGCATGTTGGCCATTAGCCTAAAGCAAAAAAAAAGAATCTCATCCACTCATCAGTCAATCAATTGTCTCCCAATCTCTCTTCAGTTCAACAGCCTTCCACGTACGTTGCATCATGTTCATCTATCTCTGCCTTTATTGCCACATTGTGCAATGTCACGTCCATCTACACGTATTCATAGTAATATAAATGAGTATAAAGTACCTTATCCACTTTCATCTACGTGATATCACGTACCGGGAATGGCTTCAAGTCAAACACGACGTTGCAAGTCTGTACCATCCTAGAAGATAGCGCCAGTTCCGTCCGGAAGCGACCGATGCGTGTATATTCGTCTCCACCCATGGAACTGCATAGTCGTTGCCACTCGTTTTGTCCATAGCACACGTTCCCTATTACATCCAGATAATTAATTAGAGATCAAGTAGATACGTAGCAATCGGATCGAAAGTATGAACGCACAAATCTTGAGCTTGATCCAGCGCCAAATGCGTACGATAAATGTCGCATTCGCAGCTGCCGCTTGTCGCACTCGTAGCCCCGATGACATCACGATAAAGAACGAATTAGAATGGATACACTTTGAATATCGTATACGAATACAGTGCTCCCTCTGAATAAGGTACTGTAACAAAAATAAAATACGGATAATATTATCTTTTAAATTTGTGGATTTAACCCATCCAAACACATGAAAGAACGGTATGACATTTTAGAGGTAGCACTGTACTTCCTTAGCATCTTTATTTCTACCAATCAACAACCGTCAAGATATAAACTATCGAACAACTCAACACCTTCATTACGACCAGCCTTAGGACTTAAGAGATGGAGGACATGGCGTTGCTACTGGGCTCTTCAGGTGCATTTTCTCTTTTGTATTATATTCAATACTCTTTTATCTTTCTAATGCACTAATTTATATCTCTAACTAACCATTTACAGCTACAAAACAGCGATTAGCAGGAGTCACGGGTCTCTTGGAGCAATTACGTAAACAAAACGCGGTCCCTGAGGTCTCAGCCATGCTCTTCTCTCATGTATTGCCATGTTTACGTGATCACAATTCAAAAATTGCTTTGGGTGCGCTGGAAGTGCTCCAGCTGCTGGTCGCTCGTGTGTCAGAGAACACGCTGCGCTCGTCTTTTAAGCTGTTATGGTCGAGCCTCATGGAACGACTGGGAGACAATAAATTGCACATTCGGGAGAAGGCAGTGGACGTTGTGGTGGAGATTTCTGTCGTGCTGGACGTGTTGATTGTGCTGGAAAAGCTTCAGCTTTGTATGAAGCATAAGAACTGGCGTACACGCGAGCAGGTACAGAAAACAAGATAGATGCAAAGAGAGAGAGAGAGGTGCTGATTATTTGCGTTGATGTTTGGGTAGAGTTTGCATGCAGTTTGGAGGTGTTTGGAGGAGCACAAGCTGTTTAAAGAGAGGCAGGACGAGCTGTTGAAAGATGTAAGTGGTGGTGGACTGAGGCAGGACGAAATGCGATGGATGATAGAGTGAATGTCTTATGGTGCTTTATGTAGGTACTAAAATTGCTGGAAGACTCATCAAAAGATGTGCGTGATGCAGCAATGGTGACGCTGGAGAAATTTTACACGTATATTGGTCCATCCTTTTTGGTACGGCGTTTTGGAGACTCTTTAGTAGCTAGAATTGATAATAAACGGCTTTCGTTGTTATTGACAATGTAGAGCGACCTACAGGACAAGGTCATTCGAGCGGGACATATGGCGACGTTGGAAAAGAGATTTGATCGGATTCCGCTTTGTGGTCAAAATCTCGATTCTGTTGCAAGTGCAGTGTCATCGCACGACGTTGTTTCGGTACGTACAGTTATGCACGCACAATCGAAGTGGACTTGTTTGGCGAAAAAGTAATGCTGTGACTTCATTGCAGAAATTTAAGGGTGCTTCCGCTCCTAATAGTGGTGTTACAGATGCGTTGTCATCGATGTTGTCGTCATACGATCTGCAGGCTACCTCGTCGTCGTCATCATCGGTGGCAAGGTATTTGGAATCCGTACGACATCGAACTTTGAAAGAGGCAAAGGATGCTGCTGTTTCAGCGGGTAGGGAACGGTCTCCATCGCAAGAATCCTCTGAAAGTAGTACGATCGTTCAAGCTACAAAGTCTTTTGGAGCAAATAGCGACAATATGGCTGACAAAGAAATTCAAAAGCAAGTTGGAGTGATATTTGACAAGCTTCAGCTTGACAACGAATGGGATAAACGTGTCGATGGGTTGAAGATGCTCCAGAAACTAACAAATCGATGCACCAAAGCGTCGAACAGCGAAGCTGCTATCACATCCCTATCTCAGGCTCTACGCCCAATTCGTGAGAGATTGTGCGAACAAGTTACCGATTTGCGGTCATCTGTGTCCAGAGAAGCTTGCGAGACAATCCAAACCCTCGCAAAAACGCTTCGTGACGAGTTCAATGCTCATGCAGAGATTTGCTTAGGTAATCTACTCAAAGCAACGTACGTGACAATCCAGGTGATCTCGACCGCAGCGGATACAACGATTCGAACCATGATCAAAAGTACAAGCAACGGCTATACGCGAGTGATCCCCAAGTAAGTTGACATAAATTGTCTGTAGAAAGTGACGCTACCGCTGACGCCTTACTCTCCAGATTGATCGAGTGTGCGAAATCTCGGAACCATGTGTTGCGATACAATGCGGTGTGCTACTTAACTCTGACCCTTCAGCAATGGAGCATCAGTGTTCTCAGCAAGTACGTATTGCAATGTTGTTTGTGTTTTGAAGCTTGGCCGAGACCAACTGGTGCGATGGTGTGTATCAGGCACTCGGATTTGTTTGTGCCGATAATGCCAGCTATTTTACGAGATGCGCTGGGCGATGTGCGTGCGCAGTCAAGAAAATGTTACTGGTCTTTTCACTATCTCTTTCCGGTACGTTTGCTACGATTAAAGCAGTGCCTGCTATACTAACGCTACTTCTTTACATTCAGAACGAGGCTGAAAGTGTTTTTGCTCGCTTGGATGGATCAACGCAAAAGAATTTGAAAGACGATTCCTCAAAATTTACGGCAAAAACGGCGCGCCAGACGGATTATACTTTGCTAGATACACCAGTGTCACAAAGTGGCGATGTTGAGCTTTCGGCGCTTCGATCTACCAACGCGCCTCAGCCACCAATTAGCGCCCCTGCAGCATTCTTTTCGGTAACCTCCAGTAATGATGAACAGCACGACATTGCCTCAGAAGAATCGGCTGCCGGAAAACAACCTAGGCGGATATTTGGAGGAAGCTCAAGTGAGCTTGAAGTGGATGCTGCTGAGAAAGGCACAAAAACTTCGCGAATGCTTACACAGGGCCCAATGCGTATTGGACTTGCAGCGAAATCTTCAGCCTCGAAGGGTGGTTCTGTTTCAACGAATGAAGCGAAAAAGAGCGCTGCGACGGGTCCGCTTCGAGTGCGGTATGCACCAAACTCGTTGCAGCCAACGAATGAAGCGGTTGAGAGCATGTACGCATCGCGACAAGAATCATCGACTGCCGAATTTCACACCAGTTTGAAGCAGGTCTCAAAGGTGCAACGAGTTCAGCGTGCAGTAGAAGCTCAAGCTCCGGCTTCGATGGATATTGACGCGAGTGAAGTTGCTGGTCCAAAACGATTTCCAATTGCATCTATGCCATCACCAACTGCGTCAAATGTATCGAGCCCCAGGCCTAATGTCTCATCGAGGGGCGATTCAGGCGACAATAAACTTAAACGAGTAGCACCCATCAAATCATTTGAACGACCCAAGGTTGCGCCGTTGCTAGTTGCAGATCAGCTTGAGGAAGCACTTCGGAACATCGAAAGCACATCGTGGTCAAATAGATTGGAAGCTGCTAAATATATTGGGAAATTGCTACAGAAGCGTGACGAGCAGACCACCAGCGGTACAAGTGGAGATCGCAAGGTGGACCACCGGATCTTGATGGCGTTTATGAAGCATTTGAGTGATGCTCACTATCGCGTCTCACAGTGCGTGCTGAAGAACTTTTTGCCACTGCTAAAGCTATTCAACGACAACCAGATACTCATTCCTCATTTGAAGACCATTCTGTCAAAGCTGTTCCAAAAGTTTATCGACACGAAGGAATCCGTGCGGGTGGTTGCTAAAGAGAATTTGGAACACATTGCATCGACATTTGATAGCTCGACACTGGCTGCAACAGTGATATCAATACTTGGAGATGGAAGCAATATGAAAGTCAAAGCCGCGATGTGTCACTATTTGCGCGACCTGTTGCCTAAAGCGGAAGGATATATGAGTAACGGTGCTAACAACAGTCACATGAGGTCATTTCTGCTCAAGATCGCTTTACTCATGGATGCTGACGTCCCAGTTTCTGTTTCATCGGCGTGTGGTGAACTAGTCTCAGTTAGTGCTCAGCATTACGGTCCGGAGATGGAGGCAGCACTAGGATTGCTTCCCCCATCGAAGCGTTTGGTTGTTGCCAAGGTGCTCCAGTCCAAAAGAATTGGTCTCAACAATAGCAACTCTCAGAAGCCACCACTTTCGTCAGCCCCGCGCCCTTCTCAATTACAGAATGTGGATAATGACAACCAGAGCACGACGAAGCACCTAGCATCTAAAGTAGAGAGAAGCCGCAAGCGACCAGAGTCACCGAACGTGGATTTATTCAGCTCTTCTCGACAGAGCAGCCAAAAGCGGATCAACACAACGTTTCAATCAACCACCGAGGATCAGATGATCGATGCTCAGACAATCAGCCCAGCAGGTACTCGACAAGTTAGCGAGGTAGTTGTCAATACGTCATTGCCTGAGAGGATATCACTCTTTAGTGAGTTGCGTCCATCCGGCGGAGCTTGTGTGGATAAGTGTGGAACCCAACTCGAAGACATCCTTTGCATCCTCGAGCAACAGAATTTATCGGAGGCAGAGATGAAGCACGCACTTTACGAGGTAAGCTTCTTCTTGTTTGTCGTCGTAAAGAGCGATCAACTGACGTCTTGGTATACACAGACTTTGCATTTTATCAAGACTGGATCATCCGACACCTGGGATCGCTGTTTCGGCCGGCTACTTTTACTGCTACTAGATGCTGCTACCGGAAAAAACGTAAGTGCATTGAAGGTGTTACAGAAGCTTGTGGTAGCGCAGCCTTCTCGGGCACAACTGTTTTTTGAGCTGCTTCTTCAACGTTTAATAGACGCAATGGGCAACGAAAGCGATGTGGTGAGTCCGATCGGTCAAGAAAAAGGCTTACGACTTGTTTCAATTTAACATTGTGTGTTTCGTAATTGTATCGAGCAGGCTGGTCACTTGATTGAGCGCATTTTGCACAATGTAGTGAGCACGGCCGACGACAAGCAGCAGTCACTAGCAACACTCATTCCGCTACTTTCAAGCAGAGAGCCACCAGCGTTACAAGTGGTACTGCGTCTTATCAAGGTGTGCTTGCAACAATGCGAACGAAACTCATTTGAAGACGTGACGTTCTTGCGCAAGGATGACATGGTCGATCAAACTTTGAGCGTCCTGGCAAAGTGTCTCAACCACTCGAGCTCGAATGTTCGGAAAAATGCAGTGGACTGCCTGGTCGCCTTTCATTTTGCAGTCATGGAAGATGGTCCAATTGTCCCCACATTTCTCGCTACAAAAGTCGACGATACCCAGCAACGACTTGTAGAGATTTTCATCGATCGTGCCAAGATGGAACGACATCACATTGGACGATTATCCATTGACCGACCGACTTAGTTGTAACGAGAGCGCTAAATAAATTATTTTCGACAGTATACGTAAATCTCTCAATAGACTGTATAATTATGACACTATAATTCTATAATAAGTATCATTTATAACAGGATATACATTGATAAGAATTTCTATTTCTAACTGATCTGAAGAGCTCCTCAGTTATGCAAAAGTCTTGTATTCTATCAGACAGTTTTTTTTTCGTGATCCAATATGGTATTAACTCATGAGACTCATTATGTCTATCCATTCCATTGGGACGTCGTCACTCGTGCCTTTTGGAATAAATATCCTAATGAACATCTTGCACATGTGGAACGTGTCGATGTATTGGATCGAAGAATAGACAAAGAAGGAAGACTCGTGACTACGCGACTGGCTAAAGTGACACAAAAGAATGTACCCACCTGGGTTCGCTCTGTTTTGGGGGATTCTACCTACGTTTTTGAGGAGACAATATGTGATCCGCAGCAAAAGAGGCTCGTACTCCAATCTACAAATCTTTCGCTGCGGTCCGTGGCCACTGTCGAGGAGACGTGTGTGTATTCAGTGCATCCGGAGAATGACCAGAAAACGTTGTACGAGGCTGAGGCGAAAGTGACGGCTTTTGTACCGCTACTGAATCGAAAACTTGAGAGTTTTTCGGTCAGTCGAGGTGCCGACACGGCGGCAAAAGGCATCAGGGCAGTCGAGGAAATTTGCAATGATATTTATGAAGGAACCTTTCAGCCGGCTCTCTGTGAGGCTGCTAAAGACTTGGTGGCTGTAAAGACGACGGAGAAAGACACATGTGCAGCAAAGCAGTAGACAGTGAGCCATAGAATCGAATCTGCGCTCACTTTGTTATTTGCAAAACTGGACTCGAGTTTCAATATGTTTAATGCGAGGACGACATTTCTATCTGTTGAGACAAATGAGGATATGCTCTTGTTGTTTCGTGCTTTCGTTGACTTTGACTTCGACTTGTCGTCAATTTGGATGGACAGATTCGTTTTCCAAGCTGAGGATGTAGGCGACATGTGGCGTCTTGATTGTCAAGTTACCCGCTGAATGCACTTTTAAGTAGCGAGGCTTGTGTCTGTATGTGTTGAACTTGCCAACTCTCCATTAGTTTTGGAGTGAGGCTCTTCCGTTGTCATCGCAGTCGACGAGCTAGATAACTCGTCAGATGGCGACTCCTGGTCAGAAACCAACGATGCCCGGTGAGCACCTTTTATCGGTGCTGTTACCTGTGATGAAGTCGGCAGAAGAACTGAAATCTCTGTAGCCGCGCCTTCTAACACTACCAGAGCTTTGGCAATGTCAGGTTTTACTTCTTTCTCTTCAGCTATCTTAGCTTTCACCTCTTTCACCTCTTTCACCTTGGCTTCAACTACCTCAGGTTCACCCACTTTCCCATCAGGTACCATTGATACAGTCTCCAGTGTTTCTGCTTCAGCCTCGGAACTGCCTTCTATTTCCTTCTCAGCATCTAACCTGGTTGCTGAGGCTTCCATTGCCTCTTTGCTCGTTGCCTCCACATCTTCTTTAGCCTGTGCCTCGAGTAGTACTTTTACTCGTTCAGACAGAACAACAGCAAGCGCGTCGACATTACTGAATGTCGTAGCAGTCAAAATACCTCGTAAGATGTCTGGACACTCAGGGTGTTCTCGGCACAACTGTTGATGTTTGATCGCCGTTGCGGCGAATACTATTCGGACATTTGACACTGGATCCAGTGCCAATGTGAAAAACACGGCTGCCAGTTTAGACGAAAAAAAGTCGCGAGCGGCGTTAGTCAGCGCTATGTCCTCCTGAGCTTCGCTTTCATCATGCTTGGCAATCAGGAAAGAGGCACAGATTTTTACAAAACACTGTCTGTCCTTATAATGTGAAGAGTGTGCAAGGGTCTCGAATTTATCAACAACAGCAATCAACCACTCCGCATTCGAGTTTAAACGTGCCACTAACAACGGGCAAGCCTGTAAATAATGTACACAGCAGCACAAACATGTCAGTGCATCGTAATTTTTGCGGTAAGAACCTCATATAAGTCATCGGCGTACATGATAGCTTTGTTCTCGCACTACAGCGACCGGGTCTGTAACGAGCTTGAACACTAGGGGGTGAATCACCGAAAATGTCGCCTCAGGTGTGAAAGTGTGGCACAGCTGCGCTAGCTGGCCACTCAGAACTTCGCGAAAGCGCCATTTGGTGGTATTATCGAATGAGTTGAATTCCGCGAGCACGGGTAAATAGCTTTCACGAAATGATGGAGATACATTCTCCAAAAAGTCAGCAAAGTGCAGCATCGCACCTAGCCGAACATCTTGTACGTCATGAAGATAACTGTCAAACGCTGTAGCTAGCTGGGTTTCTGTTATACCCTGGCCTAAAATTCGTGCCAGCTCGTGCAAAGAATACGCAAATGACCGCCGAATTTTCCAATATGTGTCGCTATGCAGCCGCTCGAAAATCGGAGATAACTTTCGCCAGTTTGTGGCGCCCAGGATACTTGCTACCGCCGGGAAGTTATATGCACAATGAAACTTGATATCTACCTCGCCACTGCCACCAAGCTGTGATGCCGCTGTCGTTGCCATGCTCGCAAAGTGCTCCACCAGTTCATCTGTAACCTGATCTTTTTCCAATGCCGCCAAAAATGGCCCCAAACTTTGGTACGCTGCCATGCGAACCCACCGCGACGAGTCAATTACAAAACTCTCAAACATCGGTATCAATATTGGTCCACGGTCTGTTGGTGCCAGCGCGAGTGCAACATTTACAAAACACTCGGCACAAGCTTTTCGCACACCCCAAATGTCATCCTTGGCTAGTCGTTGAAACGCTGGAATCAGCCTTTCCCGACTAAGTTCCATACCTGCCGTCTTGCAAACATTAGAAAAGCTAAGTGCCGTTGATTTGCGTACTCGAAACACCGGATCTTCCGACAATGAAATAAGTTCAGGTACACAAAACTGTTGACACAATTCCGGTCCAAAATGTTCGGCCAATTCATTGTACAATGTCACGGCTGAAATTCGAAATTGTTCATTGTCGTCGTCATGTGCCAGAGGCAGTACGATCGTTAGTACGTGCTGTCCCTGGTCCTCCAACTTGACAAGTGCTGCCATATCTACAAGACTCTCACTTGCAGCTGAGCGAACCTCGTGCTGCTCGTCCGATACGAGCTTTGTCACCAATGGAATAAGTTTATCCAGTAACACTTTGTAGCCAATTTGAGGCTCCGTCTCGACTAGAAACTGACACAAGAGCGGGAATTGCAACGCCACGTGCTGTCGTACAACGTACTCAACGTCACACACCAGTGGTTCCAGCAATGGCAGTAGCTGGTCACATGTGGCTTGAAACCCCACGGAACGCGCCGTTTCGTGCAACATTTTGACATGAATAACGCGCTGTAATGCAATGTTACTGCACACGTACTTGGTGACACGCTGCAAGTCACTAAGACTATCATCAATTGCTAGATCTTCAAACGTTGGACCATTTGCCAACTCGGCCTCTTTTGCACGAAGCTCTTCATCGCTCTGTGCGTCATTTTGAATTGAATTAAGTTAGCTTTAGAAATGAATTGAGATTTCGTCCACTGCGATTCATTTTTGACTTGACATACCAATTCGTAGTCCATGGAACGAGATGAGACGAGTACAGTGCAAACTGGGAGAAAGCAAAGATGTACAGGATGCAACTGGATGCAAGAATGTGCTGGTTACGACCGAAAGGAACAAAGCGAACGACAGAGCGAAGCAGACCAACGGCGGCGGCTGCGCTTGTTAGTTGTTCCCCCCTCGGAAATAAGGAGTATTTCCAGTTCGAATGTAACGGGAAGGTTGCACCAAAACTGGAGTTTTGTAGATAGAGGGTTTTATACACTAAACGGTGGCTGTCGGACCTTTTTGTCGTTTTTGCCACCGAAAAAGTCAGCAGCTCCTACAACACATGAGCCCACTGTATATCATGTTTACTGACATTGCGACTTTAAAGATAGAGGACTTTAAAATAGAGGACTTTATAAAGAGATGGTCATTGTAGTTAAAGCATCTTATTATTTGAATATGACTTGCTCCTATTGTCGCTAGTTATGGGCAAAAGTAAAAATCGCCTTAGCACTCAGTAAAGTCCAAAGGATCTAATGCAACGTTATCATCATATCTGTATAGAAAAATCACGTAGTTCATAACCAGAATCAGTGCAAGCTCACGTGCTCATTCCACACTGATAATACATAAAACATTAGAGAAAAAGAGCATTCCAGTGTTTGTATCATTGGCATTTAGACACACGTGAACGGCTGTCAATCAACTTGTTCTTAGAGAGGAAAAGCGGATTTACTGGTAGCTTTTTATTCGTGACAAGGACGCTACATTGTCCATTTCAAGTCCAACTAGCTCATTATGGACGCTCAGATGGACACTATTGAACCAGGCGACGACAAGTGCAGATTGCGTCTTGGACGAACAACCAGCTGATTTTTGACGGAAGATGTTAAGCAATTTGCAAGCTCAAACGTAAGCTGACAATAGTGCTAAACAGACACGAGACAAGTACGACTTGAACACTATGATTTAGATCTAAAGTTCACAGCCACCATCTTGCAACGTCCAGAACAAGCTTAAACAAATTTCGTACGCTAGGCTTCAAGGCAGTCGATATGGAGTTGTTTGTTTCGTAACAATGATTGACAAAGCGACACAGTGGGCTAAAATGAGGCAACTATAATGAGCTAGCACTGCTTGACTACTGCGAGCAGCACCGGTAGACCTTTAGTGGATGAGATGCCAGAGACTTTGCTGTGGTTTTGCTCTAATTTCCTTTTGTGTTAAGTGTCGGTAAAGAACCTATACGATGAGCGGACGGAGCTGCAGAGCGAGTGGGAAATGCTAACGACCCAGGCATGTGCGAAACAGAGCTCCGTACCAGGCATCTAGCTACTGGATTCTGCTCCTGCTATGACTATGTCGCGCGTTAAGGAGACACACTTACAGACGCACATCAATATTGTCTGTACACAATTGCACTTTGACGTCTTGAATAGCCACCTCTTTGCGGTGAAAGATACCAGCAGCAAGAGCAGCGTCACAGTTTGTCTTCTCAAAGACCTCCGTAAAGTGTTCCGGCTTGCCGGCACCACTGGACGCAATGACGGGAATACGCACCGACTTCTTCACTAGCGAGATCAGGTCCAGATCGTACCCGGCCTTCTGACCATCCATATCCACGCAGTTCAACAATAGCTCACCGGCGCCAAGTGCCTCGACAGCTTGGGCCAGCTGCACCACGTCAAGATCGCGAGTTTCACGGCCGCCGCGCACCGTCATCTGGTACCAGCAATACTCTTCGCCATTAGGTCCGGATCGCGACAGCTTCACGACCTTGTGGCCCTTAGCATTCTCATCGTAGAATGATGCCACATACACCCGCTTTGGGTCCATAGACACCACGACAGCCTGGTTGCCGTACACGGCGGATATGGTCTCGATGGAGCTCGACCCATCGCCTTTGCCGCCATTAGCGTAGTACTTTTCAGCCGTGTACACGGCGTCGCTCCCAATAGAAACCTTATCAGCTCCCGAGCGAAAGTACAGCGCCGCTACATCCAATGCTGAGTGGATCTTCTGCTGGTCGTCCACGTACTCACGGATACCGCCACCAATCGTGAGTGGCACGAACACGCACTCAGAACTCGCCTCCAGTACCTGAACCATTGGCAGGTTTCCCATCGGCTGCTCACGGAAGCTCGTAATGTTAAGGAATGCCACCTCATCAGCTCCTTCTGTAAAGTACCGTTTGCACAAATCTACAGGTCGACCCATGTTGCGGATGTTGCCTACTTTTGCAATTTTAGAGCTCTCCCGTACGTCGTATTGGTCTCCTTTCGTCACCACCAGATCTCCCTGGTCATTTGCTCGCACATCCAGACACCTAAAAACTCACCACAAAACTCTCATTACCATCAACATGACACTCCAACTCCAAAAATCACGTACGCGATGATCCGTTTCGACAGCGTCGTCCGTGGTGCCGTAGCCGCCGTCGTCAACGGTACATCATGGCCCTTCATCTCTTTATTCTCTAAAAAGCCTTTCAAAATAGCAATCCCCACTGCTCCACTCTTTTCCGGATGAAATTGCGTCGCCATCACGTTGCCCTTTTGCACAGCACTCACAAACTCCGATGCTCCATAATTGGTTGTGGTCAGCACCCAATCCGCGTTTTTCTCCGTCTTTATGACTCGAAACGAGTGCACAAAATAGACTTTCGCTTTCTCTGTGGCCACAGGAAGCGTTGAAAAAAGCATCGACTTCTTCCAGGCCGTTAGTCCATTCCAGCCAATGTGTGGCACAACCACGTCGTCCGATGGAAAACGAACCACTTTACCCTTGATTATACCAAGTCCCTTGAGTTCCGGACACTCCTCCGACCCTTCAAATAGTGTCTGCATACCCAAACAAATGCCCAGGAAGCGTCGATTCGCTGCCACATACGCACGAAGCTCGTCAATGTAGCCACTAGTTTTAAGAAATTTCATTGCAGCACGGAAATTGCCGACCCCTGGAAAGATAAGCACTTGAGCCGTACGAATATCCTCTGCACATGTCACATCTTTTACGGAGTGACCGACGGCACGGATAGCATTCTTTAGACTGCGCACATTACCAGCCCCATAGTCGAGCACCGTCACCTCGACCATTGTTTTTTAAACTTGTTTGATTGGGTTTGATTGGTGGAGAAATAGACAACCTATAATTTAGAATAAACCAGGACGAATTCATAGAGCGACGTCACGACTTGACCTGCTATTTTGCTGACTCAGTTTAGTATTTTGCATCGATGGAAAGAGTTTGATTGACATCTGTAGTCTCCGGCTGGAGTGTTCCGTAGAAACATGGTATACAGAAACATGAAATGGATTCAAAGCCAATAATAATGTTGATAGACAAAAGAATGACTTCTTTACCGCATGACTGCTGGAATCGCCTGGTAATTGACATTTGTACGATATGCGAGTACATGACAGTCGTGCTTTCTTATCCTGCCTGGTCAACCGATAGATACGGTGTTGATCGACGAAATGATAAAGCTACTGCATCAACCACTGCTACATTGAGACAGATTGCAAAAGGCTTTTGCAAGATGGAGCTCACTCTCTTTTTTGCTTTGTAATTCACCTCAAAGCGCGTGATTCCTGTCAAAGACCAAGACTTGATCAAGAAACATGAAAGTGATAACCTTTTACGCGGCCTTCCTGACCGTCACCGTTCAAGCTGGTAATATGGTGAATGCCGTGCAGCTTTCGGCACCAGCACAGGACGACAGTGCAAACGTTGTTTTTGCAACGCCTGCGCCCACAACATTTGCTCCGACCCCTGCACCGACCAACTTCAGTGATCCAACATTGACCCCTACGGCGGCACCGACGGGGCGTGCCGGCCTTACGCCAAAGAAAACATCTTCCAATGGTGACGATGCAACACAATCGACCAAATCTGCAGGTACTGTAGGGACTGCGTACTCAACCGAAGGCACGGTCGGGGTAGCGTACGTTACTACACGAGCGGAATATGAAGCTGAGAAGAATGCCAGCAACGACTCTGGCAGCAGCGTTACGATCCCTATTGTGATCATTGGCTGCTTGGTCGGAGTGCTCGCTGTGGTGGCTGCTGGTGTGGCTAGGAGGAAGCGTAAGGCGGTCGTTGTAGAAGAAGGAAATGACGAAACGAACTACTCTAATTCTGTCCACACACCCGTCGCGGCCAAGACAAAAAACTTCCGTGCTATTTACACACCCGACGCGGCAGAGCACGAGACGGAGTGCTCTGACGCCATCAACGGACATGGCGTGTAAGTTGCGCATCGATGCAAGTGTTGTAAGACGATTTGCATTAGTCAAGCAGTAAAGGATCGAACTTTACCTGTAAGGACGACAAATAATGCCAGCTATATTCTGATATTCATATGGCCTCTTGTCGCTAGCTGTTAGTCGTTTGATTACGTAGAGTTAATGAGTTTGATGCGAGATCTCTACAAGACGTGGATGTACAAGTGCGGTAGATTGTAATTCCAATTGAAATCTCCATTTTGTATTGGAGCACTGCTGTGCTAGGCTATAAGATATCGATTAGGGTCCGTACTATGACCTAATGTCATACAATTTTTGTGAAGGACTTCTTCATAGCCCTGAAGACAGCCGTCAAGGTACACAAACTGGGCGCCTTAACGGGAGTCCGGGGCGGTATACGACCCCGGGATCATCATTAAACATAAGTCATCTATAAAGCTGTAGGAGTGAAAATGTGTCCTTGGAGGAATTTGCGCATGGCTAACTAGTCTATCAATTATTTTCTCAGTTTGATCTTGATGAGGTTACAGCTTGAAACAAAGAATATCATGTACAATCTAGAACCACGATAGGTGTGCTACATGATCTGCTCGGCCTTTGACATCTGCGCGTGAATTATTAGCATTCCTTTCCTTCGTGACGTCTTCAATGATAGTATCTGGTCGAGATTGTGAGGTGATAACAATTTGCTATCATTAGTTCCCTCTTCTTTAGTTCAATTCCGCAGCAAGCAACGTAGCTGTCTTTTCTCATAGGATTCGCCGTTGTCGAAGTACTACTCGACGCTCTTAAGGTAATCACATGCAGCTGTGCTACTTTCGACGACTTTGTTGTCGACTCGGTATGGCGAGTCGACAACAAAGTCGTCGAAAGTAGCACAATGGGAGTTCCTAAACTCGTCCGTCGAAAAATTTCATGTTAATGAAGTGGTCAGCTACAGAATGATCAATTGCTGCCCCAGCTCCGCCACTGTTACCCAAATTCGCTTTTTCTCGAACGCGGCTTGATTTCGCCAAAAGCATTTTTTGCTTTCGCCACTTTGGTCAAGTGGATGTCTCGTCATTCGGCGGAGTCTCGTCATTCAATGGATGTTTAAAGCGCTATATCCATGAGGAAGAGTAATCACGTCGAGCGACAACTTAGTGAACACCTTTGGATATACAGCTTGCGTGTTAACGTTACGTGTTACGCATTCAGACGAATAAAGACTCCTAGTACCAATTTGAACCTCGAAAAGAGTATAAGGGTGTATTGCGATCCAGCCAAAAGATAGCGATCATTGCACTTGGTGTTGCAAGGCTTGATCGACCAGAGCATTCTCAACTCTCTCCTAGTAGCATTGAATGTTTCCTGCAGTATTAGCGATCAAAACCGGGTCAGTGCCCGAATATATACCGGGTCATACGCCATGTCAGGGTCTTTATCAATCGAGATCCGCGAGCAAAACTGCAAAAGCGACAGCTCATGATTCGATGGAAGCTACAGCTCTCTAGTGACGACGTAGATCCGAAGATGGTATGTCAATTCGGCGATAACTTTGTGTTTGATCTCAATGGGACTTCCTAGACAACAAAAATCACGACATCCCCAGCGGCGTACCAATCTGCTTCATCTGTATATCTGCATGACAGCGGTTCTCTTTCGCAGGATCCTCGGTAATTGTGTAGGGCTGGCCAAATTTCTGGAGCAGAAAGCATTAACACTCTAACTAGTTTTTATGTACATGTGTCGACCTATCATGGCTGTCTTCTCGTACAACGTGCCGTTGCCACAATGTATCTCCAGCCCTTTGAAATGGTCCTATGCGCTTCAGGTGTGGCACGTAGTCCAAAAAGGTAGAACTTTGTTCGCAAAGATTTCCAGCTACTTGCTTCCAACTCTTACGCGGATATGTACGTCCTCATTAGGAACATCCATGATTGCCAACACAATTTCTTCGAGCGCAGCATCCAAATCATGGTAGGCATCGTCCAATATTGGCAACAACTCCTGAAAATCAGCCAAGTCGCCTTGGTAACCTAACAAACGAGTAAAACGGCTCTATATATACTGGGATCTTGTGTATCAGCACATGCTGCCCTAACTAAACAGCAGAAGCCACGCTAGGAACAACATATATCGCAACCACAGAAATAAATAATGCTTACTATCAACAACTTACTCTTTCCCGAAGTAATTTCTGGTCAAATCGACTGCTATTTATCCTTTGGTGTTCCACCGAAGGTCTTAGCTGCGTATGTTTGCGCTCGGCATCTTCCCGACGTCACTGTTGACGATTGCCCACTCTCCTTCCAAGCACAAAGCACCTGGAAAGTTCAAATTACATTTAATAGAGTAGACTTCGTTGCACTAGTCGCGTTCGTTTCTAGACATAAGACATTAGATTGCAACGAATGCAATTGCGTTGCTTTCTTCCGAAGAAAAGGCACCTTAAAGCGATGATCGTTCCGTGCTCGATTCACATTTACTTGAAGTTTTCGTTTTCTAGTCAAGTTTCGAGGTGTGAGGAGCGGAAACCAGAAGATTTGGATGCTGGCACCATGGTCAAAGTATCAATAATAACAATGGGGGGAGTCGACGAAGATGACGGTACGTCCAAGGGTACCATCCAACTATCGTCGGGTAGACGAATTTACGAATTTGACGCGTCTTGTATGGCTGATAAACCAAGAAGTTCCGTCGACGTAAAGATATCACTGGTGTATTCCTCCACGAAGCTCAGTATTGCCTCGAAGGCGCGCATATCGTCTTCTTCCCTATTGACTCCATTTCCAGTCGTTTTAGGCAAGTTTTGGCTGTTTAGCTAGCACTGAAGCGTGATCGTGGCTGCCAATTGACTGACTAACCTATGTATAAGTATTATTCTTATTTGATATCAACAACCATTGTGGGAGCAACAAGCCCAGTACTCTCACGTTTTGCATGTTTCCTCCTATGTCACTGTTGTCAGCGACCCCTCATCAAGCACTGTGGCGAGTTCAAAAAATTGTGTAACGGTTTTCTTCGACGCTGTAGCCATTTGTCTTCTCTTGTTACACCCGCAGCTTCCGATAGAAGCTACAGAAGCCTACTTCGTGCACCTGTTGCGATACGTTATCGAGACATAGGCCAACTTAAATCAAAGCTTGTTCCGATTTGGATCAGCTTATACTTATCTGCTGTTTTTTGAAGGATGAGACGTGGCAACCGGCCCAGTTTCAGGCAAACATCTGCCCCCTGATACGCATGAAATCAATGAAGTACCACTTCATTGACGCCTATGTAGTAGTGGCGTTGACGTTCAAAAGCTTAGATAAAGTGCATTTGGCAGTCAAAACCAGCATAGGAACTGTCAACAAGCAAAGGAGATCAAATAGATCAAACAAGTAGTTTACATATTCTTCCACGACTTGTAAAGGTGGCCTTGTATGTGGCGTATCCTCCAGCAGGTCGTCCTCGAATATCTAGTACCCTCTGTGATCAGTCTATATATACTTGATTTGACTATAACGCGAAACGGTATGAGGTAAATAGGAAGAGCTTTCGACTCGAATCCAAGAGCAGTCCTGCAGCATGATAAATTTGTCTAGAAGTATGGCTGGGCAGGGACGTAGCCTCAATGTAGAACTAATACGTCACTCGCCAATGTGACAAAGATACGCTCGAGATGAACGCGGCGATATTATATTCCGCGTTTAGATAGCGCCTATAGCCCGGCGAAGGCGAAAGTAGTAGTGGGAATTTCAATTTGTAGAAGTCTTTGAGGAGTGTGCTGGTCGAGATTCTGATCCAGCGTTAAAAAAGCCAGAAACTAGCGACTTCTGCTTCTGAGGCATCTTGCTCAGCCCAGAATGCTGCCGATTCCGTCGCGTTTTCTTTCACACCACGACGCAAGCTCAGCTGTTCACGCAGCTAACAATAGAGAAGTGATTGTAAAAGAACCTCAAAGATCCTCCGCCTTGAACACCGGCGTCTTTTGTCGCTATCTATTGGCGCCAAGTATTACTAGTGCAAGCCGATGCACTTGTCAGCGAACGTGTTTAACATCGCCAAAGCACGACTATGATAGTGTCTTTAGCAAGTGAGTTGCTAGTAACGATTATTATGCTATGCTTACCGCAACCTAAGCGGATGTCAACACATCACCCGCTGCTTGACAGCTTCAAGCTTTCGATCATAATGAGAGTGGCTTCTCCCAGTTTGTTGCCAAGTTAATATAGTTCTCAAATATGCGCTTTGACGCTCAGTACCTTCGCGTCGTTTTTGTTGTACCTGAGCCTCCATGAGGGACAAATCATTGAGGCGACTAACTTTGTCGGAAGCTTTGCTATCGCAGCTGCAGCGGCAACAGTTTCTGGGCAATTCGTGCTAGCTCTCTCGACAAATATGTGCAGACGAGATCGAATCGAGTCTATTGCTTTCTCTATGATAGAAACGCACAAAAGTTTGCAAATTATGGGCCTCAACACTTGTTGCAATAGTCTCAATACGGCGACGCTTTGTCATTTCTTCTATAAGATGGAGTCTCTCTGACAAACGAAGGCAACAACGATAGAGTTGTAAGGAATGCTATAAGGATATCTGGATTCGACATAGATAGCTGTATTTGAAATGATTTTTTTCGAGTTTAACCTATGTCTACTGTAGCTCTTACTCGAATAGATCGATATCTTTATGATTATGTACATTTTAGCTAGTTTGAGTGCAGCCTGAGCTGCAAATCACTGGTGATTACAAACCATATCTGATCGGGAGTCTGGACCAGACCGTATGAAACTAATACTGTATCCGATACTGCGCCACCCATGCCGCTCATTGCTAAAATAGACGAGAGAAGTGCAAGCATTTTCTCAATTGAAGCCAAGCATTTTCTCAATTGAAAGCCAAGTATGACCACTCCATCAGTTCTGCGTCAACTTTTCTCGTTTAATGACGAAACAGTTATATGCTCGTCCGTTAGTATTGAAGGTTACGGCACCTACTGCGTCAAACAAGAAGGACCTGTATGCGGTGCAACGCAAGGCAATTGTCCTATAAAAGGAGTCAGTGCAACCAAGGACTGCACTACGACATCACAGACGTATTTGACTGGCTGCACTGCACCGGTGAACGCGCAGTGTGTGTTTAGAGGTACCAATAATTGGGTCTGCGTTTTTAAAGAAGACCCCAATGCTGACGGTGCTAAGTCTGAGGAAGTGGCTCAAGTCGAGTCGCTATCTACGTCACCTGACCAATCGCTGCAAGCATCTACCCAGTCTCCCGGTGGTTCCATGCTATCGGGGGTCGGCATCTCGCTTAACGTGGCCGTTGTTGTTGCCTGTTGTGTCCTCGCTTTCGTAGGACTGGTGCTTGTTAAAAAGAGACGCAATCGTCAGCGATTAGACAGCTACACGCTGTCGGAAAGGGATATATCAATTGTAACGCTGTAAATAGTAATGCTGTAGTCGTTACAGTTGGACTTTTATCAATATTCATTCACTTATAAAAGTACGTCAATATGTTTTGCCGTGGCATTGCCATTGTTTTTGCTTGCAAATGCTTTAACACGCATGCTCAAATATCTTGTGGTCAGTCGCATGAGTGACAGGAATCATTTTATCTGTAGGTTTTTTGTTGTTGATCGTGCAGCTGGTCGTATCGCGTTATAATTGGTCTGTAACAGAAGGCGTCATTCTCTCACCTAGTGTCCCGGGGCCTGATGCAATCAACTTTTTCTTGAGCCCCACGCTTTGATCTTCATAGACTTATTCTTGACTTTATCATTGACAAAGCACCTGACCATTTGCCACGTGGCTATCTGCGTTATCTACAATGTCTCCATATCGCCAGCACCCCGCCAACTTTCAGCTGCAGCATGACCTTACCAACAACAGAGGCCTTTCAATGACCCAGCAACTGCCGCCAGTGTTGGAAGGATACTCCCGATTGTATCTATGCCGTCATGGCCAGACAGGTTAGTATGAAGGATGACGTCTGATCCCATCTATGATGACTTAACTAACCAATTAATTGCTTCATAGATTTCAACTGCCAACGCAAACTCCAAGGTCGAGGCGTTAACATGCAGTTAAATGCCAATGGTTTGGACCAAGCCAAGTATCTGGCAAAAGCCATGAAGGACGTGCCTTTGAGTGGCATTTACAGCAGCTCTTTAACGCGAGCTTTCCAGACAGCAGACGCCGTCGCTAAGTTTCACCCAGAGATTCAAGTGGAGTCGTTTAGCGAGGTAGAAGAGATGAACTTTGGTGAGCTCGAGGGCCATTCGATGGAAATACACGACGATCAGATCCGCTCCATGTTTAAAAGGTGGGAGAAGGGCGAGTTCAATGCTTCTTGGCCTGGTGGGGAGAGTCCGATGGACGTGGTCAATCGTGGCGTGAAAAAAATCACCGAGGTGATGAGCACCACTCTACCCAAGGAACAAGTGTTGATGGTCACGCACGGTCGCTTTAAATAAAATTGTTCTGGCGCAAATGCTTCACGGTACCTTAATCCACATGACGGAGATCCACCAGGACAACACGTGCGTGAACGTCATCGACTTTGACCACGCAACGCAGACATACTGCGCTATGGCGCTCAACAACATCAACCACTTGCCTTCACCACCATCAGTGTAAACCGATGAGTGTTTTGTGAGGAAATGGATTTTTTAGTGCAAAGCACTGGCTTACGAGGAAGAAAGGATGCAGATACTATTGCTAGCAAGACAGCGGTGAGTGTATACCACAAAATGTGAAAGCCACCTCGTGGTCATGGCAGCTCCAACACTAAATGCTGTTGCTCATTTTAATACTTACGCGGGAGACATTCGACGCGCACATTCACAACTCTAGAATAATGATATCTTTAGTCCTTATCACAGGCTCACTCAGCTTTTGGCAGAATGGTGACAGCGCTTTGTTATCTGGCAGCAATGCAGTGGTGGATTATGCACAACAGTGGACGAAATCAGCGGCTGCCAAATCAAATCTTGATTGGATATGAAAGCTGCGAGCAAATAGCTACAAGCTCTTTTCTTGGAAGCACGACAAGCGCTGTAACTGATATGAAACGATTGGCCGATGAGATGGTGTAAACCTGTACAATTTGTAATGCAATTTGGTCACGTGGCTGCTGACCAGCTGAAACAATCCATTGCTTTCGATGGTGCGTCGAGAAGCCCTTAATGATTGTGTCGATCAACCCCACGGCACCATCCTGACTACTACATCAATAAATGCTGCTCAGTCTAGAAGGCCACCAAAGGGTACATGGTCTTCGCCTGGAAGGCTTAGGACGACGGAACCTGCTGATAGAATGGCGGCAAGAAAAGCGACGACTGAAGCGCATTCTGTAAGCAACAAGCAAATGTCAATCACAATATTGTTAAGAAATTGTCTCGGATAGAAACGCGCAGACGTCCTGTTCTTTAAGGCCTATCACCACAAGCTGTTCTTGCCAATGACAACTCACCACCATGTACGGAGCAGCCATCTTTACAACCAAAGCAGCACGGAGATAGCTCGTCACTAACTACCTATTTACCGGACCATCACGATGTCGTCAATCTTGAGGATCATGCGCACGCACTCGGTAGCCAGCGAGATCTCACTTGTGCTCACCAAGAGAGGCTGCAGCACGTTGAGCTCATACATATCACCAATAGCGCCCTTGCGCACGTTGATGCCCGTGCTCGTGTGCCCCTGTGCGTGTTTAGCGCGCAGCTCCGTGACAATTCCAATCGGGTGGAGGCCAGCGTTCTCTGCGAGTGTGTACGGTATGACTTCCATCGCATCGGCAAAGGACTGCAAACAGTAACTAGCCGTGCCCTCCAGCGTACGGCCGTAAGCAGACAGCTTTTGGGCCACCTGGATCTCAGGAGCACCGCCACCGCAGATCAAAAAGCGTTTCTTGACCAGCGAGCGGACTACACACAGAGCGTCGTGTAGCGATCGCCCGGCTTCCTCAAGAACCAGTTTATTGGAACCGCGCACAAGGATCGACATGGTTTTTCCTGGGTTGATGATCTCTGTGATCTTGACAACCTTGTGGCCGCCCACTGACTCTTCCTGCACTAGACCTGCCGTGCCCAGCTTTTCCGGAGTCAAGTATTCGATGTTAGCCACGGGCAGGCATCCCAGTGTCGTAGCAATGTGCTCAATGTCATTGCGCTCAATGTCCGTGATGACGCGAATGCCCATCTTGGCCAAGAAATGCAGCGACAAGTCGTTGGTGGCGTCACGCAAGATACTCTTCTGGATGAGTAGCACATTAGCCCCTGATTTTTTCACCTTCTTGCAAAGGTTCAATATGTACTTGCGCTCTTCACGCAGAATGCGATCCATCGCAGCATAGTCATTGATGACTACATTACTCTCCATGTCTGCTTTTGGCGCCGAAAGACAGAACTGAATTAGTGCAATTTTGGCGTTTTCAATGGTGGTAGAGCCCGATCCAGTAGCTGTCTTGTCAAAGCCCTTGCTAAACACGAGTCCTTCTACGAGCTCCGAGTCGTCAATCGTGCCTCCGAGTTGTTTGACCACGCGCACCGTGTTCAGGTCGACGTTGGTAGCTGTGGCAATGTCGATGACATTAAGCACGGCGTCTACCGCAATGGGAGACAGTCGGTCCGCGTATTCGGAGATGACCTTGGACGACAGCGATGTGTTGACGCAATTGATGAGCTCCTCGCGGTTGGCGAGCTCCACGGGCTTAGACATCTCCGTCAGGATTTCCTCGGCCTTAACAGCAGCGAGACCGAATGCCTTCGAGATGTTAGTGGGGTGAATACCCTTCATGAGCAGGTCTTCACAGGCACTGAGCAATGCGCCAGCAATGACACAAACGCTAGTAGTGCCGTCTCCAGCCTCAATATCCTGGGACTTAGACAGATCCACAAGCATCTTGGCTGTTGGGTGGTACACCTGCATCTGGCTCAAAATTGTGGCGCCATCGTTCGATATAATTACCTCTCCATTACTCTGCTGGATCATCTTGTCCATGCCACGCGGTCCCAGACTCGTGCGAATAGCGTTCGCGATCGCTGAATAGAGATAGAAATAAAGTTAGAAATAAAGTTAGAAATAGAATCAGCACTTGAGTAGCTTGAGAACGCCCTGATTTGATTCACGCACGGACGAACCTTTGGCAGCGATAATGTTGGACATACGCACGTCCTTTTCTTTCTGTTTACCGCGCAGGGTCTCGCCGTTCGGGCGGGCGATCGTTGCAGCGGCTGTCATGGCGTTAAGGATCTCGAAGTAAAGGTGAAAATAATTAGTGGCAATGGATTCGCTCAACCCCAAACTTTAATTTTGGAATTTTGGAATACGTTTTAGGATTTACGAGATTGCCAATTTGGATGACATTCGAGCGACATTTGTAATGGATGTTCTTTTGAGGACAACTGCTCAGATTTGTACATACTTTTTGTAAAACTTTTTGGTAATGAGCGCATTTGCACACGCTTTTACCGATGCTTATAATTTCTGACGAGCATATTATACCTTTCACCTTGTAGCTGCTTAGTAAAGATCCATAACCTGCGGCATATCATGTCCTAATGTACGGAACCACATCATCTTTTTAAGTTTAAGTCTTGCTTGGCACGCGGTAAGTTGACTTAGCCAAATCCCCACATAAAGATTAAATGCAAGGTGGTGCTGCTTTGCGTTGTGTTGTTACTCGTTCCTTAGCTTACACCTTCCAAAACGCTCGCTACGCCGCGCCCAAATGCCAATTGCTAAATGAAGCTATTAATGCTTTAGCTTCTAAGCGGTTTGCAGCATTTGCTAGCCAGATAAATGGTGTAGTTGCTATTGTGAGAAAGACTTCCATCGTCGGTAGTATATTATTAACAGCATTAGGAATATGGAAAAATGCAGATAAACCTCTTCTTGTCTGATAAGTAATGATCACAAGCATGTGCTCACTGGCATGAAAATAAACGAGTATTGTTGTGCTTTCCACTATAGTTTGAAGGAGTGTGTGAAACGTGACAGGCCATTATTCTGGATCTTCTCCGCTGGCAAGACGCTCGTCCGATATTCTGCTACAAGTCTAAACACAATTGTGACAGAGGTGTGAGATTCTCAAATTACGCTACCACGCAAGCCTGTAAGCAATTTGGCTGGTGCTCAGAAACCATTAACTTTTTCCGTGTCCCGCCAAATTCTAGCTCTGAATTTCTTTTTCTAGCCTCCTTTCTAGCCTTCGTATCTGCTTCCGTTCTACCTTTTTCGCCAAGTGCATCCACGAATTTTAGGTGGTGCTTTGTGCTCTTTCCTACTCAGGCAGTTGACCCAATATGATTTTCTGTGACAGCAGACGCTGTATCAGGGTACCTAGTTACACGTAAACATTAAGTAATATACTTAATGTTTGGTCTAAAAGTATCCATGATTACTTTTGACCAGTCACTTGGGTGCGACACAAATGTGATCCACCCTCGTGAATGTAATATCCATTGATGGATTCACATGAGAAGGGATGACGCTAGTTGAAGCTAGGCATCGCGACGTCTCAGAAGGACGTCAGTTGCGATCTTAAATCTAGATTTAAGATCATGCGACAGGATACGCTTCTAAACAGTCGCGTATCCGATCTATCTATATATATATATATATAAGCCAATCAGTAGTTAAGTATATATTTAGTTATAATTAATTAAATATAGTTCAGTCTTGAATTTACTTAAACAAGCACACCACGCACGAGAAGTTGAGAAACTTCTGCGTGACGTCGGTGTTGTAAGCGTTAAGAAGTTCGTTGCACTCTCGCTCAAGCGAGAGGCAACTGGTGGTACGACTGCTTAAGCAGTCGACCAACCTCCCAACCACCCTCGCACGCGAAGGTAAGACGATATAACCGCTTCCTCGCTTGTGCATAAGGTGTGTGCTCGTAGTACGAGGCAAATTCATAGAAGTGCCCGTCTACAGACGCCATATGGAGCCCTGCTCCGTCAAACACCAGAAACGACCGCTAGCTGACAATAAAACCTTTACTCGCTACATGCTTTCCTCTCTACGTTTTTTATTTCTAAAACGCCTCTGATCACTTTTGAGAAATGCAAGCGTTAACTGAGTGAAAGCTGACGGCGATAACCCAGAACATTTAGTACGTGCGGCAATCTGGATGGAAGTTGGTCTTAATGGATCCTCGAGAGATATGCGATATCAGAGCTGAACAGACGTACATATAGAAACTGCAGTCGAAGCTATTGATTGGATGCGCAATGGCAAAAGTGTAGGAGTGAGTTATAATGAGGCCCTTTGTTCGCAACCAAATTTTGATCTCTGAGCTACTTGTACCGGGCGATATGCCCGCGGTCACTCGTACCCGTGATTACGTGGTACTTGACGGGGAGTATTGAGTACGTATGGTGGAGACTTTTCAATATAACACCACGATTAGATAACCATAAATATTGCATAGGATGTATTTTGATACTTGCCCTTACGGAGGTATATATTGGGGGCGTAAAGGTTAGGGTAAACGGTAAAGCCCAGGCTGTAGCCCAGGGGCTATAGCCTAGGGTTATGCCAGCCTGTAATAGCCTGTGGGAATCCATAATAACGCCTGGATACCAAAAACTCAGCAGAGTCTTTTATGCTTAAAGCCCAAGCAGCGAGTTGAGCCAAGGGTTACTGTTTGGTCGTTACAAATAACTCTTCTCTTACCCATGTTTCGATAGGAATAACTGCAATGGAAATGACTATTGAAGACGCTTTTTAAATTGTTGATTATTATTGGGAAACGGCTCTTTTCCATTTCCCTAGGTGTTCTCTCAACATTGTCATATTCATATCTCAATACAGAGCTCCCTCCGTTAAGTTATGATTACGGTTTGGACGACAATACACATAACTTTAAAGAGCTTGTAAGGTATCGGATGATGTGTATTGTACATATGAGAACATTTAATAAAACTGGACCTGCATCCCCACATTCCGCTAAAACAAAACAAGATCCGGTATGCGCGGAGATATCGAGTGTAAGGCTTCAGGTTTATCCCCATTACGGGCAAAGGCGTTGAGCAAGCTTCAGTCGTGGCCCTCCCATGCAGTCTTAGATGTAAAAGGAGACTGGAATCAGAGCGTGGACCAGCTGGCCAGCGCAGCTTTGCACCAGCAGAAGAGATCGGGTCGATATCAAAGGGAGAGTGGCCAGGTCTAAAAGCGATCGATCGGCTTCCAGAGGTGCTGTTCCCTAAAGACTGGAATCTATCTGTCAAGATAAGTGCGGTGACGCGGTCACGGTACCCCGTCAGTTTATCTGGAGAAGTTAGCAAGAAGACGTGAAACAACTACTCCGGGTGGATCGAATCCGAGATGCGCAGGAAGAAGAGAGCTGGGTGCGAGATTTGAAGACATATTTGAAGGGAGACTAGGGTAACCTATCTGTGGAATCTGCTCGAGCTTGCAGTAAAATGTCCGGAGAGTGAACAGGGGGTGCTATTTTACTTCCCCGGCCAGAGAATCTATGGAGACGACCGATATATAACTGCCAGATTGGTGATAAACGAGAGTCTCCAGGCCGACGTCCTTCATCAGTCTAGAGGGCGGTCATCAGGGGATCGACGTACCTACCATCGAATCCGGCAATACTGTCATTAAGGAGGTCTATTTCGGAGTGTAATGGGGCAGCCTATTGCATAAGTAGATATAGAAATAATACATAATTACATAAGTAGGCATAAGGCAGTATCCGATTAGCGGATACTGCGCGTCAATTTATTACTGGTTTATTATTGGGGTGCCAGACCCAATAATTAGCCAATAATAAACTGACTTTCATATTGAGTGGTTTCCATGAGCTAGGGAACATATTCGCACTTACTGCGAATTAAAAACAAAACAAAAATAAAACAGAGTTACATTTACGAGTTAATTAAGAGTGCTTCCTCAACGCCCTTTTAGTGTAAGATGGTAACGGGTCCTTAGCCCGTCACAAAAAGTTGGCTGGGTCTGATCCCTCTGTACGATCGAAATACCAGTATACCACGCAGCGAGTTTAAGGAAGGTGCCTGAAGAAGGGTTGTTTAAGAATTCTTAGGATTACATCGGCCGTCGCTCATCCGTACGAAGATTAAGTCGATTACGTCCCGCCATGCTCAAATTGCCCGAGCCCGACTGTTTTTCCGCGCGTTGTAGTACGATGCGAGAAACGAGTTCGAACGAGCCTGGTCTTTCTTGATTCACAAACAGTGAGTCGCCTCCCAGAGCGCTTGGTTATGTTCTTCCTCGGACTAATTGTATATCTTGACCAACTTTACAAAAACCAGTCTACCCGGCTGAAAGGATATAGGCGGAAGCCAGACCTTGGTAGCTATTTTAGGCTTGGCAGCCAGCAGTATCTATACTATGGAGGGACTGACCAACGAAGACTTCCATATGGGGGGGGGGCGATCTACGTTTCCGTCAGGTGGACTTAATTACCCCCACGGCAGATCTAGATGGTCGAACACGTCATTGGGCGTCATCGTGGCAACGCACCAAGAGTTGACCAGATAGACCGACCAGGTCTGCCACGAGAAGGGAATAACGACTATGAAGGTAGTCAATGGTTCACCGTAGGTGGTCCACCAGCGCCTTTTCGTGCTGAAAGGCGTCGCGGAGCTGGGCCCCCAGTCGGAAGTTGTCGTGTAACTATCTTTCCAGACGCTCACACCGGACAGGCAAGTCAGCAGCAGGAGGGGAGATCGCAGCTAGCCTACCCTCGCAGGCTTTAACTCGGTGAGATTTTGCATCCACGTTGACTTTCAGGTCATGCAGATCTTCGCGCACCCCAAAAAGGTCAACAAACGTGGAAGACGAATTGTCAAGCGAGGAGGCCAATAAGGCAGAAGCGTCGGTCGAATCTTCTGTAGAAGGAGAAGCGGCGACAGGCTGTTCATCAACGTAAGGGGTCTGGTTACAACTTAAGAGCAACAGCAGTGACACGGACGGTTCGACCAAGGACGATTTTTTGGACAAAAGGATAAACGGAAATGCGACCCCCCTCCCCCCCGACATTCGGCAGCCTTGGCAAATCTGATTTCTTATCATTCAACCTCTAAATTCACTCTAGCTTAAATATGCGTCAGCAAGAATTTTGTTATTTCAGGCTTTAAAATAACCACAAATCTAACTTAACAAAATATAACAACCATCATTACATTAGCGGACCCAATGCACCCTTCAGCCCTTTCTGCAATTTGCTAACAGCTGCGCGAAGTGATGAGTGATGGCGACCTGTTCGAGTG